GGACCCCTCGCGCGTCGGAGGTCCTCCGGGAGCCCCCGGGGCATTTTCAATGGCTTCCGGCGGCTCTCCGTGAGGTCTGGAGAATGCAGACCCATAGGCATATCCCCGATCCGATGACACACGGGTTCATAGGAAAGCTGCGCATTGCTCACGCGCAGGATTGCATTGCCAAGCGCAATCACGCCTGGTCCCCATGCGGCGCTGGCCGCTAGCCCGTGGGCGTCGCGCGGTGGCGGGGTTCAAACCTGGAAGGGCTTGTCTCGGGAAGGGGGGTCCTCGGCTGGAGCCCCTGGGACATGGAGGCCTGTTTCGAGCAATTCAAGCGCGGGAAGCACAGAGGCCTCCCGGTGGAATTCGGTTCTCTTCAGATTATGCTCGTCGATCACCCTGTGGGTTGTGGCCCATGGAGACGCGCGGCGTTGGGGGGGAGTGTGGCCGAACCAGTTGTTGCTACCAGCGGCATTGTTGCGGGTCGCTTATTTTTCGTATTTAGCGTTACCAAGCCTTCACGAGAGTAACCTCGCTGTGTGATGCATTATTCTTCGCGTCCTACTTGGGCGACCTTTCCATCGCTTGCAACGTGGGCGTCGTGGGGGTCGCCGCGTCTGACCGCAGCTGCGGCCGCGGAGCTTGCCCGCCTCGTCGAGTCGACCTCGAGGCTAGGATTGCGGGTCAAAGAGCCCGTCGCTGCGTCGCCCGCGGCGCCAGTTCGCCCCCCGCGGCAGTTCCAGGCAGATCTGGCGGCGAGCCCCAGGCCGTCACCGCCAATCTCGGATGTGATTTCGACCGGTGGAAACAGGCGCGACGATGCCGCCAAGCGAAGCAGCATATTCAGAGCGGCCCGACTCCGCGGCCGAAGGGCGCGCGGACTCACGGCTATTGCTGGCCAGGGATGCAGAGGAGTCTGCACTGCTGGCCCGTTACCTGCCAGGGCATGCGGGGGGGATCAGGTGGGCGGGCCCAGTGGCGCAGCATGACAATCGGCCCATGCTTTGGGCGCTGTTCAGACCACCCCCTGCCCCGCTGAGAATCGCGCAGCTCGGCTTGCGCCGTCGCGGGGCCCGGGGCCGGCCGCTGGGCCCTGGGGCCGATTGGCGCGAGAGGTCCAAGACGCCGTCTTGGAGAAGCGCGCCGCCCCTGGGGCCACGGCGCATCCTGAGCTCACGCAGGCTTCTCTTCTCCACACAGCCCATGCCGCGGGCAATGTGCAATCGCCCGCCGCGCGAGGACGGCTCCGCGCAGCAGCTCGCGCCCTTGCGGAGCGGGCTGGGGCTTACCTCTGCATCCACCTCGCGGAGCCACCTCGGGAGGGCCATCGAGTTCACGGCCACAACGCCAGCACTTCGGGTGGATCTTCTCCAGAAATTTCGCGACGGCAGAAGGGCAATTTTAGAAGCCAGAAGCATGGGGGGGGACCCATGTCCAGGGTTCGCGTTGATTTTGCCAGGTCCCTGTTGTCTCCCAAGAGAGGAAAGTTGACCCCTCAGTGCAAAGTCGCGCTTCAAGCCCTGGTGGTTCAACGATTGGACGGAGGACAATTTGGCCCAGCTTGCGAAGTCAGAAGTGGCACAAGCAGCGCCCCTTGCGCCAGGGCGCGGCCCTTTCTTGTGCTTCGGAGCCCCCGATCACCCAGGCGAGCAGCATGGCGATTTCCCGTTGCCATTGGAAGTGCCCAGTCAAGCGACGCGACGGCCAGCTAGAGACAGTCCACGACTTCGGGTGGCTCGTGGAGACCGACGGGGCATGCGCCAGAGGATGCGCAGTCCAACTAAATCGGGCAATGTTCTCGGCGGTGGCGTGCAATTGCGACGGGGCTCCTGCGGCCTACCTGATCGGGGCTATTGCGGTTGTTCACCCCCAGACCCCGCAGGCGGGGAACACATGGGCCTCTTGGTGCTCCAAGCGGCCATCACTCAACCGGCTTGGTCTTGGGTGGATTGCAAAGCGGCTTTTGTCCAGTATGCCAAATTTGTGCCACAGCGCCTCAATGCTATGCTTTAGTATTCTGTCCTCCGCAAGCCCGCGCTGGCGCCAGACAGTAGGCCATGTCTTCCAGATGCTTTCAATATCAAGACTCACCAAGACGTTGAGAGGATAACGTGTGGGGCCAAGCTAGCAGTTAAAATCGATCAGGCTGCTGGCCCGACAGCTAAAGAAGCGCGCGTCTCGTGCCACTTTGCCTGCGATCCCACTGCGCTGCAGCAGCTCGAGCACGCAATTGCCAGAGCCAGGGCGGCGGATAACAATGCTCCCAGAGTCCCTTCCTTTCGCTAGCGACAGCCATGAGAGCGAGCAGGCCAGCCTGGAGCGCATGGAAGGTTCTTGCGATGTGGCTCACGCGTGGGCGGTTTTTGGACGTGCTTCCTTACCGATGCTCGGGGTGCCTCACTTTTGCAAAGAGTCCCAGAGCTGCGTGTGCCAGGGAAGGTCAGGCGTGGAAGCCACTACAATCGGCCTGCAGGAAAGGCCCCGGGAGCGTTCACACTTCTCACCAGATGGCTGTTGCGGGCCCCGCCGGTGCACCGACTTTCTTTTGCATGCGATGCGGTTGCGAATCCCAGTATCAATCCCGCACCTGGCCAGCTACATGCCCAGGCAAGCCTGCAATTCGGGGGGGGGCAGGATTCACGCGCTTCGTCGGCTTCCAGCGTGCAGGCGTCCTCGCTTCAGCCGGCGCATGTCTACTCCGCAACATTACAGCACGTTTGAAAGACGTGCTGAGCAGATTGCTCAGCGCGAGAGAGCGCTGAACAGGCCACCGCACCAAGATCAGTTGCAGCCGTAGCCTCAGCGTGCCACCCAGAGCGAAGCGCAGGGGCGTCGCCGTGGAGGAGGAGGAGGAGGCGCCCTTGCTTCTGCCAGTGGGCCGTGCAGGAGATGATTCGAAAGAGGCCGCATTCGATGGTCGAGCCCCGCTTCGGCATCTGCGAGGCGGGACTTCACTTCTCCTGTGCCCTTCGTCCTCTCGTGCTGCCCGTGGTGTCTTGTCCGCAGACAGCATCGCCCAGCCTGTTGACCTGCCAACTGGCCGCGCGGGCCGCCGGCGCTGCGCGTGGCGGGAAGGGCGCGATGCAAGCTGGGCCGCCTTCCCCCAGGCCGTTGGATTGGCTCGTCCTTCGGCATATGTATCCTGTGTCTCTGTTGCGTGCGGCTGGGCCGAGCCACTCGCCCGCCATGCTGTCCGACGAATCTTGCTGGTTTTCTTGTGTCAGGGAGGTTGCTCACAGGTCGCGACCTCCACCGAGGGACTCGCCCTCCAGAGTCGCTCGCCTCTGGCGCCCTGCGCCGCGGCCGCTCTTGGCGCGCTCAGCGCGCCTGCCTGCCGCCGCGCGGTCGTGCGCAGGGGCAGGCGTCCGCTGGCTTTTCCTCTCAGGCTCCATGATGTGGAGTCTGAGCGCGGCGCTGGTGGCAGGCCAGAGACTGTTCGCCCATGGCCTCACGGAGAAAAGATCGATGGCCCCGTCTCCTTTTGCCACCAGGGGCCATCCACGGGCCACTCCTGGGCGTCGGAGGCTTGCGGGAGCGAGAAGGCGAGACTCTGAGGAACATTGAACGACCGCAGGTCTTGAATGATTTGGGCACTTCGAGGTCGTCTGAAAGTCGCAGCTGGGCCCCTTGGAAACATGCTGGATGCCCTGGCTGCTTCCCTTCGCTCATCAGGCCTTCCGCGAGCATCAAAAGCAAACAATTCAAAAGCAAGAAAAGCAACACAATCAAACGAAACAAACATATGACAGGGAATATTGCGCTTACATGGTGGATATATGATAATATTTTGAAATAGTTGTTTATTGTTCGAACTGTTGTGGGTTATGTAGGTCATAATCATGAACTGATACTGATATGTAGTAGAATTGTGAATTCATTGTTTTGAATATCGTGAATTCGGATCGTAGTAGCAGTAGTAGAAGTAGTAGTATCACATGCAGTAGATGCACACAGATAGGTGTGTGCTTGTAAATCAGAGATTCATCATTATCACACACACATTTCCAACAACTACCATATAGTCACGACTAGCTCATATTATTTAAACAATATACGTCGACCATGTATTCGCAACATTACATGACATATATGTGCTGTGCTTGCTTTTCTTGCTGTTCTTGCTTTTCTTGTTTTGGCTTCTTCGGCGAGCCGAGCCTGATGAACGAAGGGAACCCGCCAGTGGATGCCATCTTGGTCAATATTGGGGCGTGCTGCGCAAGTTTGGAGGCCACGTTTTGCTGCATGATGCTGTCATTGGGCCATCTAGGGACATTTTGAATGCTCTGGCCCTTCGTCGCCCGCCCCCCGTCCATACCGAGGGGAGAGGGAAGGGAGGGGATAAATCCTGCCCGAAGGGGAACAGAGGGTTGCAAGAGATAATCCATTAGACCGCCTGCGGCCAAAGGGCTGGTGGGATTGAAGCGCGATGGCCTTCAAACGCCATTTTGCTTCAAGCTCAGATTGCTAGAAGGCTCCAGCATGACGTTTTAGTGCATTATGTCAGGGGTTTGCGCAACATCGTTTTCGGGACAAGCGAACGGACAGCTTTGTTTTGGCACGGCCCACTTCTCAATTCATGTCACACCAGTTTCGCTTAGGAAATGTCCCCAAGGGGGGACTGGGGACCCTCATTGATTGATCAGACTTACGTACATGTATATATATATATATATATATATAGGCACATGTGAGTACACATGTGTGTGCATTAATCCAAGTTGCGCACAAATGTCTCCCTCTGCCCTCGTCACCAGCCTCGTCCTCATCAGACGACCTCCCCCCGCATCCACGTCTTCGTCCTCCTCTCGTCCCCACCCTCGTGTCCGTGCTCATCTCCACCCTCCATTGCTTCCCGTCCCCAATCCTCAACTCATCAGCCTCATCTTCTGCTTTCTTTCTGCTGGCAGATCCCTCGGGGGGGGGGGGGGAGGGGGGGGGCGTGGGCGGTCTCCGAGTGCGCCGTCAGACTGCGTGCGGCCCCAGGGCCTGCCGTGGCCCTGCCCCCCTCACAGGTGGAGCCCTCTGTCCCCCTCGCCGCCCGGCGCGCGGGAGATGGACGGCGGCGACCGCCGCGGCTGGGGCAAGTCGGACGACGCGAGGGTGGAGCCGATCTGCTCCAAGTCCTGGCCCAAGCCGCGGCAGCGCCAGAGCGGGGCCGAGGGCGGCGGCCAGGACACCTGCCTGTGCCCCACCTGCGGGGAGTCCTTCCAGACGGTCAACATGCTGAAGCGGCACTGCCTGTACAACGCGCACTCCGACGAGGTGTCCGGCATGCCCGAAGGGGTCCGGCACAGGGAGCTCACCGACGAGGACCTCGCCATCCTGGGCGACCACGACCCGACGAGGGAGGAGCTGGAGGAGTACTTCAACCAGGAGGACGAGGACGGTCAGCAGGCGAACCACCTCGAGGTGGTGGTCCTCGTCGAGGGCATCGAGCCCACAACCTCCTCCACGCTGCAGGCTTCAGAGAAAAGCATGCCGATGCTGGTGCACTTCCACGTGCTTGCCCTTTGGGGCCTCCCTTGGGGGTGGGTCCTTGTCGCCACGGCCGGCTCCGCCTTGCGTTCCTGGCCAGGGCGCGCACTGGGAGATGTCTGGGGATGATCGGCACGTCGTTTGCCCTCGAGGCCCGGCACTCGTACGCCGTGGGTCCCTCGGTGAGCGGCGACTTCGAGTGGGATGCCGACTTCGAGGAGTGTTGCGAGGCGGTGCCGGGCCGAGGCAGCAAGGGCCTCGTGCTGGACCTGTCCCGCTTCCACACGCTGCGCCCGCGGGACTGGCAGGGTCAGGGCGACTCCAACCAGGGCGGAGCCGTGTTCCCCCCTCTGGAGCCGGCCGCTTCCGCACCCCTCTCGAGTGAAATGAGGACGGCCTCGCGAACTGGGGGGGGGGCATACATCCGCGCACGGGGCTGGGCGCAGGCCTCCTCCCCCTGGGGGTCAGGGCCACAGCTGCCGCGCTTGTGGCCGGCCGCGAGGTGACACCCACGACGTCTTCCACCTGGAGGAGGGCGAGGAGGAGGACGACGAGACCCGGCGGGCCAGGCCGACGCGGGCTCGCCTCCCCACCCGGCCGCTCATCCGCAACCGCAGCCCCCGGCGGACCCGCAAGGGCAGCGCGTGCTGGGAGCCCTCGGTGGAGCCCGAGCTCCAGCCGGCGGCCCGGCGCTCGGGGAGCTTCTCGGGGGGCAGCTGCGGCGACTTCGCCAGGCACACCAGCGAGCCTTAGGCCTGCTGCCGGGTCCGGAGCCCGGGCGGGCGGGCGCGCGCGTGATGCTCGGAGGCCCGGGCGGGCCTCTCGGGTCGGCGCTGGGGCCCCCTTCCTCGGGGCAACGGGAGGCCTGAGTCTCGGGGGCGGCAAAGAGGGGGGTGGTGACCAGGGGGGGGGGGGGGATATCATGGCGTGGGCCAGGATATTTCCCGAGATGTCATGGCGCCTCTTCTTGTTTCATGACGTTCCTGGCCCCCCCGCTGGGCCGCGCACATGCCGCCGGTCATGATTTGCACCTCCCCTCTTGGACACCCCACTCTTGGCCGCTCCCGAGAGTAAGCCGACGCTCGGGCTTACCGACCCTCTTTGACGAGCGCGTGGTGGATCTTGACGGTCCAGCGGGAGCTCGCGTCACATGTCAGAGCGGGCCTCGTCATTTTTATAATGGCCTCTGTCGGGCCAACCCGAGTCCCCGTACCCGTAGGTCGGGCGTGTCCCCCTATAGGCGGATTCCGGCCGACAAAATAGTGAACATACCCCCAACATGGTCAAAAAATAGTCAAATCGTCTCCTTTTTTTATTGTTGTTGTTGTTGTTGTTGTTGTTGTTGTTGTTGTTGTTGTTGTTGCTGCTACTTTTGGGTATCCCTCCTGCAGAGGTCAGGCCCGATGTACCCGCGCCCGAGTCTTGCGGCTCCCCGGCCCTCCCCCAGAGGCCCCCGAGAAGGGCGCGGGCCTCCTGCCGCCCCTGGGCGCGCGCCGCCTGGCAGGGAAGGGGCGCGGGGTGGGGGTGCAGCCCCAGGCAGGACCGCGTCGTGAAACAAAAATCGGCCTCCTCCTCCTCCTCCTCCTCCTCCTCCTCCTCCTCCTCCTCCTCCTCCTCCTCCTCCTCCTCCTCCTCCTCCTCCTCCTCCCCCCCCTCCTCCTCCCTCCTCCTCCTCTCCTCCTCCCCTCCTCCTCCCCCTCCCCCTCCCCCACCCCCTCGCCATCTCCCTCCCCCTCCCCACGAGAGGCTTTTGGCCATTCTCGGCCTCGGGGGGTCCTCGCTGGGCCTCGGGACCGTCTAGAGGCGACTCGGGGTGAAGAAGCGGTCCCGGGGCAGGGGTCGGGAGTTCCAGGGACCCCGCCTGGCAAGAAGCAGGACGTCGCATTTCTGGGGCGTCTGCCCTCGGCGAGCCAAAGGCGGGGTCCTGAGGGATGGGGTCCTGAGAGCGAGGTGCCCCAGACAATGTAAAGCCACCCCTTGGATCCCTTCCCATCCTTCGGTCCCCATCCCTCCGGGCCCTATCTTTGAGCCACCGAT